TACATCATTTTCTTTATATTATATATTTTATTGTGTTCCAATTATTGTGCCATTTTTTTACTAGTATATAGGTATGTATTAATATTTCCATGTATTCAAAAGTTCTACTTTTATTTAGATTGTATTTTACGTTGTGTAACTGAAATTGCCACTAACAATAGTTATCTCTTGAACTCTTATATATCCTTTTTACTATCGTTAATTTCATAGGTTCAACTTTATATCTGTATATTTTATCTGTGTTTCACCAAATTCTTGAAATTGTATTGCAATTGCTTTCACACTTACTGCCATTTTTCTTTATTTACCTATTGTTATTTTTATTATTATATTGTGTGAAACCTTTCAAATGAATGAATAGTCATTATTATTATATTATCTTCATACAAATAAATTGTGGGAATCTTTGGAAGAGTCCCACAATTTTTTTGTATGAAGATGGAGAAGTAGAAAGCCAAAAATTTTCTTTCCCAAAATACATTTTCTTCTTGACGTTCACTGGGAATTTTGAACAGTCACAATTATTGGGTATGAAAAACTAAAATACAAAAACTTTTATTCAAAAATTAACATAAATTACCAATCAAAACGGGCAGAGCATATTATGTGATAAATTCTACTCACTTTGGTTTTTTATTCTTTGACTTGGATCTGGAGTAAAAGAATAAGTATCGACAGCATTAGGTATGACGGAAACTCTTTTTGAATCTACTTTGGCTCGTAACACAGTATTCTCTTTACCGGTGTGAGAAACACAAATACAATGGTTGCAATCTGAGAGAGTGATTTGGATGAACTTATTTGTAATGGCAGCACTGGCATCAGCAAATCCAAATAGGCTGTGGTCTGTGAAAACCGTCTGAAAAATGAAAATTATACAAACATGCTGAAATGGATATATTCCTAGCTAAGGAGTTGCTATCTAGGTACCATAAAATGAGGTTTATGTTGCAAATTCAGTAGTTATGAGAATATTCACATCCTTTATGAAAACAATAATAAAACATAAAAATCATGAGGTTATAATAATGAAAATTGTGATCAGAAATTCCAATTGTACTTTGATTTGAGAGAATCAATGGCTCTTATTCAGTGTGTGTTTTTATTCTGCCTTAAACTGAGTAACTAATATTTCTAGTATGTGATGTATTTGCCTGATACTTGATGAAAATCCATGTTGCGTTTTTGTAAATAGTCCATTGAAATCTCTCAATAAAATGTTACTTGAATGTATATTATTTCTGTTTTTGTATTCCACTTTTAGAAAAATTGTTTTTTAAAGAACGTGTCTTACTGTTGGACATTGTATTGTATACCACTGAGTAAAGACCAAAATGATTCAGTGCGATTTCAATTAAAAATTGACAGTGTGTATCTAAGGGGTACAAAAATATGGCATGTTATTTATTTGTTGTATCATAGTGCTCAGGGCTCAATTTACAATGCATGAGCTGTATTTCTGGAGTTATTTGTTCTCCATATTTAACCTTTCACTAGTTGTGACACTTTTAACTTTGAATTTTCAGAACCCACCTTCAATCCCATCAGATTTCCAATCAGCATCGCTTCATGTGCCAAAGCTGAAAATGCTGAATGTCCATGAATTATATCAATCCTCTCCCTCACGAGAACATACCTTATGAGTGGTATGTTGCATATCATCGTTGGAAGCACGCACTGATTGTAGAATACTCTTATCGGTAGGTAGTAGACCTTCAATCCATTCGTCATGTATCGAACTCCTATCCTATCGCCGTAACTGTGGGTTACCATAACAACTTTATGACCACGGAGTAGAAGGCACTGCGACAAGTTGTAAATGTGCTCTTCGACTCCTCCCATATTGGGGAAAAAAAAGTCAGATACCATGCTGAAAGAAATTATTACAGTTGATTTTTCAGTCATCATGATTGCATTCTTTACCAAATCCTGTGATACATGATTAAAATATTTTGTGTGAGATTGCATAGTTCTGTCAGGTTAACGACATTTTTTTTCGAATAACAATGTTGATTAAAAAGAACATTTCAAACACTTTAGTAACTGAAAAAAAATCAGGGATCAGGGATATAATGTCAGATTTCAGATTAGTTACTCTGTGGATACAATGAAACATTTGACATAAACTGATAACAGTGACAGATGACAGAGAATGGAATACACCTTGAAATGACAGCAGCACACTTCTCATTTTTTGACAAGGGTCATGGTGTCGCCAATGGCGCTCTTATAGAAAGAAACCCTCTAGTATAAATATTAAATGAATTTGGTCTGCATACGACTGACCGCATTGAATTAGATCATCGTCATATCACGTACTATTATTCGAACGATATAAATGAAATAAACTCCAACACACGTTATTGAGGAACACCCCCTATTTTTTTTCTTGTGTGTAGGTACTTGATTTACCCCAAACCGTCAATTTAGGTACCTCATATTTGTTTCAAACCAGTAATAAATTTTTCATCGGATCGTGTACAATCCTGAAAGCGGCCGTCTGCAGCCGAGCTTTATATCAAATACCTGCCGAAATAAAAAACAAACGCCACCGAACCGTACGAAATGAGCATCCGAATATTAAAATTTGAAAGCGCGGAGTAATGGGTTGGCAGCCGTTCTATTTGTACTAAAAGCGCTTCTGTTTGTAGTTCAAATATAAATGCCGGTGCTGCACTTTCAGAGTCGTCTATATTCCTCTGCTTTATATTCACCGCAATATGTGCTCGCAAGGACCAGAATCAAAAATATTTACCGAATAGTAATTTCGTTCGGGTTTACTTTGCTGTATCAGTGGGAGGATGGGACCGATGGCTAGGAGTTTTCTGAACTTTGGATGATTCAAATGTCAGAGAGAATATCTTCGAAAAAATGAAAAAATATCTGACATTTTCATAGTCTGTGGTAATCATGGACCTAAGAATACTAGGGACGTGTATGCACTGATAGGCAGTACCGATGACAAACATTCTACATTGATCAAAATGAAGAGTCGTGGTGGACTACAATCTCCATCGGAAGATGTCATTAAACTTTGTAGGGGGTGCGAAAAAACAATACTTTTTATTCTCGAAGAGAATGGAAGAATTTTTTTCAGTAAAAAAATACAGCGAAGCGTACTTCGTAGGTAGATTGCGTGCGAAATTCACCGAAACAGATGTTCTATTCTCTAATCTACGCCAACATGAACATGACCAAATGGTTTTAGAGAACCATGTTTTACATCTTATGAGGGCAATTGTTTTAAAATTAGGCTATTCCACTTTTTCAAAAGCGCCATAGATCACTCTGATAGCGATAGAAAAAAATTCAATAAATTACCTTTATTTGAGGGACAATGATCTTATTCCTAGCCGGAGAAGATATCGTTCTCCCCATGGTTTTTTTCGGGTTCACTCGGATCTTCCACTCGAGCTACCAGCGCTCGAGGTCGTCCAATGCACGTTGCATGTAGATCATCCCGAGCTCCCGACCCATGGAAGATGAGAGGAGAGCCGTATCATCGGCGTAGAGAGACACCTTCACACGCTCGGACCTCGTGAGGTCGCTGGTGTAGAGCGAGTATAACGTGGGAGAGATCACAGGCCCCTGTGGCACTCCAGCAAGGATCTCTTTGTTGTCAGACACGGAGCCCTCTACTCTAGCCTGAAATGTTCTGTCTTTCAGGAAGGACCCAATCTACCGGATCAGGCACCGAGGCAGGTCTAATGCGACTAGTTTGTGTAGAAGGCCTTCGTGCCATACTCGGTCAAAGGCCTTCGAGATATCTAAGAGGACAACGTGAACTTTACGGTTGCCGTTTAACTATTGAATAGTGTTTTCGACCGAATTGTTCATTAGACAGAACATTTCGGTCGTCAACTCCTTCGTTGAGCCTTTGCAGAACGACTCTTTTAGCCAGCTTAGCCGCCGACGAAAGCAGACTGATCGGGCAATAGTTCTGTGGGCGAGTTCTGACCCAGTTTTGGGATCATGACAAAGATCGCACGCTTCCACCTTCTGGGGAAGAATCTGTGGGCCAACGAACTGTTTATTATATTTAGTAGGTTCTCAACGCAGTTGAAGAAGGTAGTAGAAATACTATCTTACCTTTATACTATCCCATCATCCTCTTTCAGTGACTTTCTTTCTTCATATGTCTTCTAACGAGCAGTGTATGTTTCTTTGAAAGTAAAACTGATTTGACAGAAACAAAGATTTTTATCGAGCAATTAAGTTTGAAAAATCTGTTTAAAATCTGTTTTCCGTTAACCAGCTGTCGCAATCCTACGAGCGACAACCCTCAGAAATCGAAACTTGTGCGAGCTAAGGACTAACGAGGTCTTACCTTTTAACGTGTGATTCCTAACACGGGTTGGGCGATGGCAAGTGAAAATCGATCGTTCAGCCGGGGGCTTGAACCACCGACCAACACGGCGGTCGATTTGAGTGAGTGAACAAAGCACCCACGTCGAACCGACCGGCTACCGACCTACCAATACCTACCAAAGTTTCAATGGATTCGGTAAAATGAATCAATTTTGAGAATTGGAGAATATTGTACCGATGATGAAAATATTACATATCCCAGAAGATACCAAGCAGACCACTGGACTGTTCAGTTGTTCAAGGGAGATCTCCGCTGGAAACTATGTAACAAAGAGATAGCCCGTCATATTTTCGAGAATGTGAGATACTGTATTACAGAAAACAAAAAAAATATAGACAGTCCAAAAGAGTGTCATAAAAGAAAGTCAGAAAAACACAATAAACGCATGAGACTGTAGTGCTTTATAGAAACCTGGAAAAATGAACGGCTTCAAAGTCACAAAAAAAATAATGGAGATATTGCAAATTCAAGGAGATACTAGCTAGACCACAACTGTTCATATAGCTACTGAAGCTTTTCTTTCGATGTCATATATCTAGAGCTGAACTCAGCTGCTTCAATAGAAAGAAGTCCTCCATCAACCATAATCTCCGAATATTTCAGTAATGTTTCGTATTCTTAACGTATTATCCATGTCGTTTTTCCAATCGCAAACATATACCAATTCCATCATACTAAATTCTAAAACAAATTTTCTATGCGAAAATGAATGCTGATCCAATCAGATTTATTTACAATATAGCAATGACACGTGAAAATCCAAACGAATCAGAGAGTTTTACAAATTAGAGCTAAATTTGAACAAATGCACACATGTTGAAATCGCAATTGCTTTCAGAATTGATTTTCAGTTTTGTATATGTCCATTTCAGTATATTGAATTACGGTATAATTGTTTCGAATGACTTCCATTTATTATAGTTTCCAAATCATACATATCTTTTGATCATCANTTACGAAATGAATTCAGTAATTTATATATTTTTAATTATTCATACGAGGATGCATTGATTTAATCAGCTCAGGCCGCGGCTCCGTTGAGAAACAGAATATTGCATTTCTATAGCACGCCGTCCACAGAGATTTGGTTATGAGAAATAATTTCTGAAATTGACTCTCTAAATGCCTGAATGTTAACTAGAAGCATGCAAGGACGAAATCATCATTTTCTATCTGTAATCGGTTCAATAAAAATACAAACTTCTCAAATCGTATCATTACCAGGGATGGAACTTAGGTACATTTCTACGATCAAAAAGCAGAGCTACAGTCGATGGAGTGGTGATATCTTCTCTGGTTCACTAAATCTCAAGAGTTTTCCAAAGATATTATAGTTTTGCAGGACATGCTATCTGCACAGATAACATGTTCCTATGGAAATAATTCACGACTGAGGGTAATCGTTACAACCTCCTCAATCACCAGAACTGGCTCCGTCATGTCATCATGTCTTTCTTCAACTAAAAGATAATCTGAAATTTACATTTTCTTTCAATGGAAAAGTGGGTAAACTTACGATGGCTTCGTTGTGATAAACGTGAGAAAAAGAATTATTCAATGTATCTTCGTATATTGAATAGTCACCCTTTGGAGTTTTGTTTTGGGTACGTCTTTGTATAGAAAAGATCAAACCAATAACATCTCCCAATATTTACACAAGAAAGAAACTTTTCCCAGAATTGTCGCTGCGAACCAACAGATCAGAACACGGATTTTATCATCGATTGAAAATGTGTGTAAAGGGAACGGCGGTAGAGAAACAGGAAGAAAATTAGCGAATGTTTTGTGTGTGATAAATTTGGGAGGGTGTATATTTTGAAACACATTTTCCAAACAATTTAACTGCAGGAAAGCAATTTACCATACATGCGAACAAACTCGAAATGGAAAATTTCGATTGAATATTGTGAGAAGCAATTCTGAAAAATTGAAATAACAGTTTAATAAAATGACAAAAAAATCAGAGATGAAGTTTCTCCAACGATGATGTATATAGCTTGAAGTGTTAATAGGTCAGCCTGATTGTTGACCGAGAAACGAAAAAATTTTCTGGGAAAACTCAATACTTCAAAAATGTGAAGGTAACTTCAAAATATGCGGCGATCCAAAACACCAGAACTACAAAACTCCTTTCGACGTGTGTACCACCAAACGAGTGGGCGTCTTCACCACCAGAACTGAAACACTTTTATAGGCGCTTTTCGTCAATTCAAATTCATATATAAATGGTTGTTCTGATTTTTGGAGTCCTTGGTGGAATGATTCCCTCTTTACTCATGAGTCCCAATGTCATATCGGAGGCAAAAATCTCAACCGAAAACACGCAGAAAATTGTCATTTTTGGTTTATTGTGCCTACTTAGGGCACACTATCCTTGGACCTAATGATAACTCACCTCACTGTGTGGGGAGTGGTTATTATTTGGAAATGACGGAGCGTCATCCAAATGTGTCGGACTCTCAGAACAGGGTTTAACTTACGCAACCTATTGGTTGACGCTTCATTGCATAGACCGGAAAAACGGATAAGGTTGTCATTCTTGGTTCATTGTGCCTACTTAGAGCACACTATCCTTGGACCCGATGATAACTCACCTCACGGTTTGGGGAGTGGTTATTCTTTGGAAATGACGGCGCGTCATCCAAATGTGTCGGAGCCTCGGAACAGGGTTTAACTTACGCCACCTATTGGTTGACGCTTCATTGCATAGACCGGAAAAACGCAGAAAGTTGTCATTCTTGGTTCATTGTGCCT